AAGAGTAACTGATAATAGCTCAATAAAAGTTTATAAAATATTTTATAAAATTGTTTATTCGATTCAATTTCTTTATAATAAATAGAAATAATATTTCAAATAACTTTAACTTTTTAGTACCACCCTATTTATTCTCTTTTTACAAAAAGATCTTTATATTCTTAATATAATACTTATTTTGATATATCATTATAATCTTAACATTCTTTTCCTTTTAATTATTAGCAAAAATAATCTGTTAAAAAACTTGGATTTGATATAACAAATTAATATTAGGAATATATTGAAGAGACATTGATTAATAAACCTTTTTTTGGATATAATAATAATTATATTTAATATAAGAATCTTTATTATAATAATAAAAATCTTTGGAAATAGAGAATACAATATACTTAGAATAATAAAAATATATAAGAATAATTAATCTAGCAGGATCTACTACAGATTGAACCGCAATTGCCTAAAGGCCGATAAATTGAAGAGTAGCTATAATAAAATAAAAAAAAATAAAAAAATAATAAGAAATAATTTATTAAAAGGAAAAAGAATTTGGGAAATTAAAGGGAATTTATAGAACCCTTAATAATTTATTAATAAAAACAATAAACACATTAGAATATTGTTTATTGATTATTTATAGTTTTATAATATTTTTGTTTTCTTTTAGGATACAGTCCGAATATAATCACTCGGTATTCTATTCTCTTGTATTATACTAATCAAGTTCGGAAGATAAATATATATATCTCGGAATATAATGTATAATATAAGAAGCTTTATTATAATCAATCCGTATAAAGACTAGTAAAGGCACATAAATAGCCCCTACAGGGCTACTTCAGATTAACAACAACCCATGTACAATTATAAATTGTAGAATTTTCATAGTTTAGAAGAATTAATGAAAAGTCTTTGTACTATATTACACCTAGTTGATTCATTGCTATTATCTATTCTAACAATTCGTGTATATAAGAGTTGAGGCCCCGGCTTATCGCATACTAAGCGAAAATACAGCAAAAACCATCATTTTTTCAACTTTTTAATTATATAATATTTCAATAAATATATAGATTGAATTATTGAAATCTTTAAATAAATAAAATTATTATTGAAATAATCTAAAAAAATGAATAGGTTATTTTTAGTATTTTTTCAGAAAGAGTTATAAGGTTTTAAAGTTAGAATTTCTAAAATTTTCAAAAAAATCGATTTTTTTATATGGGAAAAGCGTTATATATAATAAATTTTGAAAATTTTCAACTTTGAGATCCTACAACTTTTTCCAAAAAAATATTAAAAACAATCTATTCAATTTTTAAGATTATGTATATAACAATCTTTTATACATAAAATTTTGAAAACATTTTTTTAATTATTGAATAAATTATAAAAGAAACTAGTTTATATAAGAAAACGACTTTTTTGTAGGGATTTTGTCACGAAATCAGGTGGTGTGCGATAAGCCGGGGCCTCAACTCTTACTTTTATTCAATCTCAAAGCTCGAATAACAAATTTACTAGGTTCTCAATTTAACTCGCTCCGCTATGCTAACCAACAGACCAAAACCGAATGCTACTAACCCCACCTCTATTTTATGCATGTAAATCAATTTGATACAACCACCCATTTATGTCTCGTCACTCCAACCTATAACACCCATCTCACCCTGAATCTAGTCATCTGAAAATTCTACCGCCACACTCGTATCTAAATCACTTAATGTTCCTTCTCCTCCTATATCTCCCTCTTCACTCTTCCCATCCAACTCCCTACACAATCGCCCTAATAACCCTTCCACTCTTCCCATACATTGCTCAAGTTTCTCTAGCCTTCCCTTGATATCCTCACCTTCCTCATCACTACTCCCCTCATTCAACAAATCTCTCAAATGTTTCGGTATGGTCATTCCCGCAAATGGAGCTACCGAATCTCTTCTAATCCTCTTAGCACTATTAGCCGTATCTCTTCTCTTCATATGTTCTCTCGGATTAGCTGGTTTTTGTCCAGATTTCGAGTTTGATTTTTTCGACCCATTGAATTCTCGCGCAAAGTCATTTTCGAAAACATTCCGATCGCGTCGGACATCGTTGTCAGATTCCATTCCAATTTCATCCGCGATATCACTCGGAGGTTCGGCATCAAATACTGCTTGCAAGTCACCGTGAACGCTAAAGCCTCTGGAAAAATCCCAAAGTCGAGGACGATGTGGGAGGCGGGGTAGTTGTTCTGCTTCTTTTTGACGACGGGGGCCAGCCCACAACTGACGTCGTTCGAGATAGCCGATAAGGAGTAGAAGAGGAGCATTGAGAAAACGCACGGCTGCTACGTTGATCTTGTGGAACCAGCGAGGTGTTAGGACGAATTTTAGAGGCATGAGGACAAAGAGGGCAAGGATGTTGAAAGGAGGGAAATAGGCGAATAGAGAGTCTGATTTTACACCTTCAAGAGTAAGAACGGCGCGGCGAAATTGGATTTCTGCGGTAGCATTTGAAACGATGGTTGAGAAGGTTGTTGAAAGCATGGAGACGAGGATGGTAAGGAAGAGAGTGTTACCAAGGAATGCGAAAGTGACCATGAGGATCGGACCGAGGAGCCAGTGGAATTGAGCAGATGTTGTGATGCCTGTGCCATCGAGTCCAAACCATATCCAGAGCATCCATTTAGAAACTGTTATTGGCTCATGGATACCATTTCCAAGCCAAATCATAGAGAGCAGGAATCCAGCAAAGCACCACACAGCAAGGATCGTGAGTACAGTGAAATCGCGCATCATAGCCCGGAGAGAAATGAAAAGCATGTTTTCGGACATAAGATTGAACGCTAGACGTGGAACAAGGACAGGAGCTCCCAAGGCGAGAACATCTAGTGCTTGTTGGCCAGTGCCAACGTTATCAGTGTGCCAGCCTTTGAAGCGGAGCGCCAGATAAATTCCAAAGATCGCGGCGAAAGTAACATCGAGGAAGGACCACAGATTCTGGGTGTATACGTGCCATCCATGTTCAAGTATAGAGCAACTAGGATTGGTATTAATAAAGGCTGCAAAATTCCAGTGGGTTGTTCCAAAGGACTTACAATTGATCTAAAGACCAGCCTGATGTATAGATAATGAATAACAATTCCATCCCACCGAAAGTAGATGGATCGCGATCTGCCATGACATACAAATAGAAAACCAACAGTAGCAGAAAGTGGCAAACTTCCAAATAATTCCTCGTACGAGGAACTATAAGTCTATATTGATTGAACAATGGCGCCTCTCTTGGATTGTACAATGAAATCGGTTTATTCTTGTAGTGATCAGGTAGAATATCCATGAACGCCGTTGGAGTGTATATGACCCTACCCTCGTATATTGCGCTTATCACTTTTTGGCAAGCAGACGAACTGAGGAAAGCCTTGCTTTGAGAAATAATGGCAATTTCTAAGGCTGGTAATCTTCGATTGGCGCCTGTACGGGACTTGGCAGCCCAACCAAAGTTGCTGCTTTCTTGGATGACATTGTTTGGAGCACCTTGAAATGGATCGAAACCTCCGACGAGAATGCGAGAAAGAAGAAGTAACCCTTCTGAGCCGGTATGATCCTCGTGGAAGCGGCGCAGAACTCGATTGGCGACTATTTCGCACAAGTGGGCGCGTGTGGTGCAAATGCTCTGTTGATGAGGTAGAGCCAATTGTTCACGTTGGAACTGTGTTTTGTTGACGAGAAGACAATAGACTTGGACTTTATCAGTATCTGGAAGCAGGATTTGATCTGGAAGAAAGAACAATGACTTTATGGAGTGCTGATGGTAGGAACAAGTGTGGTCTTTGAGAACTACTCAAAACACCGCCCACATTTACCATCTCCTTATCAAACAATTTCCAAATGTCCTTCTTTTGGTTGTTGTTCTAATCACTTGGGAAAAGTACTGATATTTATTTCCCCAACCTTCAAAGCGAAATAATGAGAATAAGAATAAGTATAAGAAAACAGTAACATACCAACCGACAAATCATCCAAATCATACAGCTTATCTACCAATGGCCTCACAACCGATACATTCAATCTCGGATCCCTCAATTGTTCCAAACTATATGGATCATCTATCTTTCCCGTTAGTCTAAGTCTCACTCTCCTATCTCACCGTTTGCCAAAACTCACCAATCGCCGAGATAATATCTCTCCTTATCCTAACAATCTATCAGTATCATTCTCCGGCTGAGATAAATACGAATCAGGAAACAAACCGGTGAATCGTCTTGTAAACCGGCAAATCCCCAAATTCATCTTGGGGATAACATATATCTCCTATGGCATGAGGGTGATAACACGCATGGCCATCATGCCTCCCTATAACCATACTCCTATGTCCATCTCCACTCCTCACATCGGCATCTCCCTCAATATCCTCCTGCGGATCCGGTGTCAACAACTGTGTCGTCTCCGTACTGATAAATCTCTCATTCTCATTCTCACGTGAATTTCCACGATAATTTCTAGGAAGCGTCGCAGTTCTAGGGGAAATAGGAGAGGTAGAAGGAGAAGAAGATGCTTGACCCATTATCCTTTCATCAGACCATGCCCAGACTTTGGGACGAGGAATATGGTAAGGAGTGTAGGTACCGGGGAGTATTTATTGATAATACAAATTCTTGGAATTCCAGGATCCAGCGCTGTTTAATTGATTTTATAGCATGACGCAAGGTGTGTGAGGTAAAGATAAGGAGGTGGCTCAGGGTAGATTGACTAGATGTTGAATGGTAAGAGGTACGATAAGGATTGCAGGCTTTAAGCGGCGAGGATAAGACGAGCGAATTAAATGAATGAATTGAAAGTTTGCTTTTTCTTGGATGCATCGACACCGACGCTGTGGTCTTTTACTCGTGCTATATAAACCACTTTGTGGGGTGCGTCAGAGATAGCGCAGAATAGATTTATTATGTGTAATAGATTTGAAGAAATGTTCATGAATCGCCGTTAACATGTTTATTGTTCGGTGATAGTTATAAGTTAGATTGATGATATTAAAATGATAACTCCGCTGTAGAGAGTTTGTAGGTGAATCTATTCCTTTGTTGCATTCATTCCCTAATCCTATCTCATCTCATCTCTACAAACCAAAACTCAAAGATGTCCACCTCCTCGAACTCTCAAACACGCTACAAGCTTGTCTATCGCGTCCTCCCATCTCACCTCTCCGCGACAAAAGATGCCATATTCGCTGTAGGTGGTGGAGTGTACGCCGATGGAAAATACATCAAAGTCTGTTTTGAAATCCCAGGTTTCGGACAATTCTTACCAGTAGCAGAGAAGGGAGCTGTGCCTCACACAGGGAAAGTAGGAGTTTTGGAACGAACAGAGGAGGTCTTGGTGCATATTTTGTGCACCGGGGAGGAAGTTACAAGGAAAGCGGTTGGGGCATTGAAGAGGTGAGTTTCATGTTGAGTTGTTCATTTAAAGGAGACGTGGAATTCAAGAAGAAGCGAAGAAGGGGATGGCGAGAGTTTTTAGCAGAAGACGGGGCTAATTCTAGAGAACAGGACACACCCGTACGAAGAAGTCAGTTATGAGGTTTATAAACTAGAGGACTTTTGAAGTTTTCGAATCATATCACGGGCTAGACAGTAATCAATCTCTTATCCAATCCAAATCTCAAATCGATTTGTAGAGTCTCTTGTGAAGTAAATACCAGCCATCACAAAAAAACATCACAGAAGCATGTGACGAACATTTCTTATAGTACATCTTCATACTTAGATGTTTAATTGTGAAACATTGAAATAAATGGTAGTCATCACACCGCCGAAACGCAGTTTCTAATTCTCTGCCGCAAAAGATTAAACCATCATTCCACTCATTACCTGAAATTCCTGTCTCCCCTCCAATTGGGCTCCCTTCCTCGCCTCGGCGTCCGCTTCCCCATTCCACTCCCTCGGAATCTTCCAAAATGCCACGCTGGTCCCATGAGGAGGTCCCGAGAACCCAATAGGTCGAGCCGCTTTCTTGATATAATATATCAATCGCTCCCACAAATCCTGATTCATGATCGCACTTCCCGTGCTGGTACGCCAGCCCCGCTGAATCCAACGATTGATTCGCTCAGTGGCGCCAAGAACCACATATTCAGAGTCGGTAGCGATGATGAGACGGGTCCAGGCCCCATAGCTATCACCTTGCCAGACGCGATATTCGAGAGCAGCAACAACGGCTCGCAGTTCGGCGCGATTGCTGGTTTGGGGATGGGATTCACCGGTTGGTCCCAAGTTTTCGAGCCTGAAACCAAGTTTGTGATGAGGGGAGATGACAAAACCACAACCAGCGCGGGATCCCTCGAGGCCATTGGATAGACAGGAACCATCGGTGTATATTAGTATCTCGTGGGGATTAGTGCGGCGGATGAAACGGTGAGCGGGGTTGAAAAGCATATTAGGAGTGTCAGTGGGCAGGGGTGGGTAGAATCTTCTGATGATAGGCATGGGGTCCAATGCAAGGTTACGCTCGAGGGAGCCAGTGGGCTCTTCGGTTCCCGGGGCAGAGAGCAACGTGAAAGCACTGCGTGGATCGAATACCTGATATTCAGGAGGGCCAGAAGCCGCCGAACCCTCATTTCCCTCTGGCATGATAGCACTAAGAATTCACTTGGGATGTAGACTGTGTTTGGTAAATGGGAGGATATTGCCGGCTTTTAAAAAAATTAAATGAAAGGACCACACCACAGTTTAGTTTCAGAAATTTATGTGATCAATTCATGATTTAAATGTGAGATGAAGAAGTTTGTGTTCTGCGTGTTTGTCCATGTGCACGTGTTGCAGCAGAATAGACGGGAGCACGCTTTACTGCCGGTGCTTCCATTGTTCAGCAGCTTTTTCCCAGCTCAATCACTACAGTATCCAGATGACTTTTTGAACTCATGGCATGTAAATGAATTGGCAAGTTTGTGCATGAGAGATGAAGCAAGGTTGAAGGGATGGGAAAAATTGTAAAACAGAGAAGAAAGGATAATTAACAATTGGTAACAAAAGATGGACTCTTGTAAGAACTATCTTGCATTCCTTTAGTCGATGACAAAGGTTACTCCCCGAAATTACTCCTTCTGGTGTGGTGCACAAGGTACGTACTTTTAAACAACATACACATAATAGTATCCCATGCAACACCTCGTACCTTTGTCGGTACATAGCCAAGCCAATAATTGAAACCCATCAATCCAAGAGACACATTTAATCAACAACCTCCCCAACTCTCCCTACAAAGCCTTCCAACCCAGCAACTCCCTTCTCTCCCCTCTCGCTTCCGGAATACAGTCCATGACCACCCCCGGGCATGACCAGAACCTGACTACCCAACTCTATCCATTCCCTAGATGTCAACAATTCAAAACTGACATCTGTAATGCCATCAGTGCCAAAAACAAATGGCTCATCTTTTGATTTCCCGTTGGAATCAGTTACATCACAACCGTCCAGTAATCCCAATCCAAAAACATCATCTGCGTCTTCTGCTTCCATATCTCTGGCAGGGAGATTTGGGGTTAATTTGAGAACCCGAGCTGAAGCGCGAACACTGGCTATGTATATTACTACTACTGTGCCCGGAGTGACGGAATTAATGTCGCCATCATCAAAGGATGCAGTGAAACCACTAGCAGCTTGAAGAGAATGATGAGTTTGAATCATATGTTTACTGGGTATCGCCATCACCATCCCTTTGCGGATTCGAGGAGCAGTTTGAGAAGAACGTTCCATAGGACTTTCTGAGTCTTCTTGAGTCGGTAAGTCTAGAACAATGCCAATGGTTCCGACTTGACCAGCTTCAATTGTGTGTACTGGAAGGCGAAGATTGCGAATGCTGACTATATGTGCATTGTGCCATTCGCCTTTAGTAACCGAAGCGGATGGCGTGTTTCTTAAAGCTATCCTAGAAAGTTCGGTTGCCGAGGGATGCGTGAGTGAGGTATCTAGACTGGTGGGCGAAGAACGGGGACCAGTCTGAGGGGAGTCATCATCGTCAGAATCTGCTGGGAAAGGGCCTACGACAATACTATCTCCGATTGATAGTCTACCAAACCTAAGATGACCGGCAACTACAGTTCCCGCATCAATACCATTACTATTACAGACTAAAGCATCATAGGAAGCTGGTACACCAAACACATCTTCAATGTGGAATAGAGATGAAGGTTGCTCTGGATTGAGTGCCATGCCAATATAATCGTGAGGGGTGGGTGGTGTAGGTATCGGCAAAGCTTGGAAAAGAGCATGAAGCTGACGAATACCGGTTCCCTTGACCGCACTTGTAAGGATAATAGGAACAATGGACCTGAGATCTGACATTGCCATCGTATTGATGACTTTTCTAACAGTATTAGTATCTTCAGGCAGTATGCTAGTTAGATCGGCATCAATGATATTTTTGGAATTATCTGGCGGAAGAATCGAAGGAGTTCTCCCTGTTGCTTTGATAGCAGATAGAAGTTTCGACAGTGTCTCGCTTAGACGAGGTCTTGAAGCCAGATCAAGCTTGGTGATTACAATAGCCAAAGGTTTATCCAGTTTCAAACAAAGCTCAAGATGTGCTTTTGCAAGATCAGTTCCTGCTCCAACAGTGCCAAGAAGCTCTGTCGCTGAAGTACTTCCGGTACTGCTCGAACCAGTGTCATCTGCTGCGACACATAGAACAGTCCAATGGGGAGCCCAACCAACCAAGCCTCGAACTGTTGTCCTGCGATACCTTGGATGACCAGCAGAGTCAGAAACAAATAGAAGCCGGCCATCTTCTGCTGTAGCATGAATATCTGTCCAGGACGTTACATTGCCAGAAGCGTAATTTATGACCTGTGAGTCTTTATAGCCGATCAACTCCTGCGCCACAGAACTTGTAATCCCTGTAGCAATTTCGTGACGATGCTTCAATAGACTAAGTCTGCTTTTACCTCTACCATTATCAAGCGTTGTAGTTGACAAAGTACCTAGAAGACTTGATTTTCCAGATGTAGTGGGACCAGTAAGGGTGATACGCAGCTGTTCAGTTGTATCCTCATGTTGAAGAGCGGGGGCCTCGGTAACCTCACTAATGGTAGGCTGTGGAGTATGTTGACGAATGACAGGAGCTTCGTCGTAGCTTATTGACTGTGCTCGTTTCGAACTGAGATCTGGAGTTATGAGGGCTTCAGCGACCCACAATTTCTCTCGGTGCCGGAAATTTGTTGATATCGCTTGGTCTTCAGGGACCAGCCACGGCTTTTGTTTCTTGATTCGCTGCGAAATTTGAGACTTTGGGGGTTCATCTGTCTCTTGCCATTCACATTCCCCAACAACTACCTTTCGAACGATCTCAACATTACATCCGAGACTAGCTGCCATAGCCCGTAGGTTTGTCAAACTCTCGTCTAATTCATCACTCGTCAGACCGACAAATGTACCATCATCGGAAACACCTATTTCATACAGTGCTCCACGGCTTTCCTCAAGCCCAGCTAACAGTTTCCCGGGTCTTGAAGGGGGATCTAAGCTCGTTGCGCTGCCAGGCAATCTGTTGTACATCAAAATCAGCGCAAGTTTATGTATAACCAGGTACACTTCATTGCATGTCTCAAATTTGATTATGTTAATCTGAGATTGGACCATATCGGCCTAACACACAATCACCGCTATGGGGTAATGCACTCACTTCGGTAATACAAGATCACTTGTAGATGATGCATGATACGGAGACGACTGCTGTAGGCGCCACAGCAATTGAGTTGTGAGCTGCTCTAAACGTTTCTGTTTACTCTGATTGGATGGTGCCAATATGGGGCTCGCTTTCTCCTGATTAAGGGGTTGCTGTTTGTGCTGTTGAGAACCAGATATTATTGAGCCAGTGCTTGAAGTACTATACGTCCTCCTCGGTCGTAACAAAAGATGTAGTTTGTATTCTGTGGGACCTTCCTGTGGTTCTGCCTCCAATTTTGTGACTCCATAGTCCGAAATGTGAGTTGAGCCAGGGGAGCTGTTGAGAGATTTCGGATATGGCTGAGGTGAAGGTGGTTTAGGAGAATTTGTAGGAGTCAACAACCATGGTGATTCTACCCTTGGGGGTTCGGGCTCATATGTAAAAATCGATGCCATTTTCCGATATCAGTTCTAGTCGTTGCCACTGCTCAATTGTCCAGCACTCCGTTCAATATCCAAATGTCAATGTTGAAGGAATTATTGCCACCACTCCGAGTTGTCCAATTCTCACTCAATAGTCTGCAACTTCTCCAAAGACTGCCGTCGCCGTATTGATATTTTCCCGATCACCAAGGAAGACTGTATAATTGTGTGGTGTTTGTGTATTCGAAAAGGGTGTAATAATCGTAAAACCATTTTGATGTTTGTGTGAATAGATAACTGGTATGCTGGATAGCTCCAGGAACTAGGGATCAACTGAAAGTTGGTTGGAAGAAGGGCTCGAACTGAAAGAACAGTTATGCAGACGGGTTAGAAGTCATCTTGATATAACCTCTCTTTGTATGGTAAGGTAAATTGTTTGTGTCAACATTGGATAGTGTAGGGTAGAGGAAGGGAATCCGAATAAAATAAATGTGCCTAGGTATGGGCCATTATCAGATAACAGTCATAATCTATCAGTCACACACCGTTTGGGTCA